GATCAGACTAACAAAGTAACAAGAAGAAGAAGAGTAGGATCATCAAGAAAAGGCAAAAGTTTTTTTATTCTACGAAGATGAAAGTAAGAGCTTCTAGCAACACTATTAATCTGAGAAGAGAAAGACATAGTAGAATCAAAGATAAAACCTAGACTACGAAACTTATGAGAGACATCAAGAGTTTTAGAATCAGGTAAGATAATAGGAAGAATAGTAATAGAGTGTTTATATTTATTAAAACAAATTAATTCAAGCTTAGAAGGATTAAGTTTAAGACACATAGAGTCAGACCAAGCGATAATTGAAGAAAGACATAGAGATAAATTATGAAGAACACTATTGAGATTAGATGGAGGAAAAGAAGTATAAATGTAAGAATCATCAGCATATAGTTGACTAGAGAAAGAAAAGTTATTAATAATACGAGGTAATTCAGAAGTATAGAGTATAAATAGAAGAGGGCCAAGGATAGAACCCTGAGGTACTCCGAAAGTAAGAGTAGAGGAGTTAGAAGAAGAACTATTGAGAACAACAGAAGAAAAACGATTACAGAGATAAGAAGAAAGCCAAGATAGACAAGAATCAGTAATATTAAAAGAAAGATGCAGCAGTCTCAAGAGAATAGTATGGTCAACAGTATCAAAAGCCGAGGAAAAGTCAAGAGCAAGAAGAAGAATAAGATTACTATTGTCACTAGAGAGAAGGATATCATTGTGTATTTTAAGTAAAGAAGTTTCAGTACTGTGAGCAGGTCTGAAACCAGATTGAGATACAGGTAGCAAGGAGTTAAAGTCTAAATAGGATGACAGATTAAAAACTACTTTTCTATTATGAACATTATTATACTATTATTCTATTATTATTATTCTTCTATTATTATACTATGAACAAGCCTAAAACTAGAATGAGTAGAAAGAAGTAAAAAGGTTAAGTTGAGATAAGAAAAGAGTTGCTGGAAAATCATTTTTTTAAGTATTTTTGAGATAAAAAAAAAGCTAGAAATGTCTATAATTAGAAACAAAAAAATATTTCAAAGAATTTTTCAGAATGGGTGGATTGCAGAATTTTTAAAAAGAGCATAAAATTTAAAAGTTGAGAGAGATAAATTATCAAGATTAAGAATAATTGGATTGATAACAGAAAAAAATTCTTCAAGTAACACAGCTTTAAAAATGTGCGTTCCCGTACCGTTTGCTCATCTGGATTCACTACGAATCCTCAGGATGGTCAAGTCAGAAGAGGTGGTGGTCTAACCATAATATATAACGAATGAAAATTTGTAATGTAACACCATAACCTTGGTCGTCGTTTTGAAACGTTCGAGGCAATAGCCTGTCTGTTAATATTCAGATCAAAGAAAATTATCTGTCTTGGAGTTTACAGGCCTAGGTGAAAGATCCATAAATGAGTTCTGCCAACTGTTTTTTACGATTACAGAGATAAGAAGAAAACCAAGATAGACAAGAATCAGTAATATTAAAAGAAAGATGCAGCAGTCTCAAGAGAATAGTATGGTCAACAGTATCAAAAGCCGAGGAAAAGTCAAGAGCAAGAAGAAGAATAAGATTACTATTGTCACTAGTAATGGTTTTAGTAATAATAATAAGAATGATAATAATAATGATAATAATGATAATAACAATAATGATAATAACAAAGTAATGATAACGGCAACAACATTAATAATAATAGTGATAATAATAATGGTAGTGATAATAGTAATGATAACAATAGTTATAATAATAATAATAATTATAGCAATAATGGTAATAATAATTGTAGCAATAATGATAACAATAATGGTGGTGATGATAATAATGGTGGTAATAATAATGGCAAAAATAATGGTGAAAATAATTGTAATGATAATGATAATAATAGCAATAAAAATAATGATAGTAATGTTGATAGTAATGGTATGTTAGTAGTGGTGTTGTAAATATGGTAAGTGGTGGGGTTAATAAAAGTAATTTTATAAACAATAGAGTAAAAATAACGATGGTATTAATAATGGTGTCTAATGTGGTTATTAAAATCAATGGGGTATTAGTATTGACTAATATAGTAGTAAAAATATTAGTAATGTCTATGGTAATAATAAAATGATAACAATAATAGTAATGATGGATATAAAGAATAAAAGAGTTGTGAATATAATTATAAGTATAATATTCACATTAATAATAATAATGTATATAGTGATGTAAGTATTGGTATTGATATTTTTAAGAATAGAATTAGTTATAAAAATTTTTTCTAATATGGTAGTGATAATAATAATTAGCATTAATAATAGTTACAACAATAACAACAATAACTGTTTAATAATTAACAACAATATTAATAATAGTAATAGCAATGTAACTACTGATCCTGTTGTGATGGCAAATATGTTCAATGAGTATTTTTCCTCCGCATCACCATCGATGATAAAAGCAACTGTTCTCTATTAAATCGTACAACAGAATCATTGAATGACATTTGCTTCACTCCACAGATTGTGTATCTCACTCTGCGCAAGTTGAAAAATACAACATCAGTGGGCCCGGATGGAATACCAAACAGGTTTCTCAAAATGTGTGCTTTAAGTCTGGCTCTTCCATTGTGTCACATATCTACCAACAAAATGGAAAAAAGCAATTGTTACTCCAAACCATAAAAAGGGTCCGACCAATTACCCTGGCAATTATAGACCAATATCACTTACCTGCTCATCTTGTCCGGTTATGGAAAAAATAGTCAAGAACAATATAATATCTTATTTGTTAAACAACAATTTAATATCCAAATTTCAGCACGGTTTTTCGTCTGCCAGATCAACATCTACTAACCTCCTGAGATTTCTAAGCAATCTGTTATTAATTCGCCAAAGAAAGGAAAGTGCGACACAGTCTATCTCGACTTTCAAAAGGCCTTCGACTTAGTCTCGCACACCACACTAATCTGTAGGCTAAAAGCATATGGCATTGGCGGAAATTTGCTCGAATGGTTGACAGATTTTTTATATAAACGTTCACAGTTAGTCAAGATTCAAAATAAACTGTCCAGTCCAGTTGCAGTAACAAGTGGGGTACCCCAAGGCAGCGTTCTGGGACCCATTCTGTTTCTCATCTTCATCAATGATATTGAAGACTGCCTTTCATCTCAACATGTCTCTATGCTGCTCTTTGCTGGTGATATCAAACTGTATGCCGGTTCATCAAATTCATTTCAACTGCAACAGGTCATCAACGATGTTATCGCATGGAGCATCAGATGGCAACTACCGCTTTCTCCTAACAAATGTTCTCTTTGCTCATTTCTACCATGTTCAAAAAATGTTAGCCATAAATCAGTATGTGATTGATAATCACATTTTGACACCTGTCGAATATTTTAAAGATCTAGGTGTAATATTAGATAATAAACTAAGTTTTAAACGTCATATTAACAACATTGCGCATAGATCTTCTACCCGTGCTCGACTTATTATTAAATGTTTTGCATCCAAGGATAAAGATTTGCTCAACAAGGCTTTTTGCACTTATGTCCGTCCTCTACTGGAATATTGCTAAACTGTCTGGTGTCCTCACTATAAATATCAAATTATCAATGTCGAAAAAGGTTCTCACTATAAATATCAAATTATTAATGTCGAAAAAGTTCAAAGGAGATTCACTAAGGCCATTGCTTCAATCCACCATCTTCCGCATCTGTCTCGTTTACACTTTGTCAAAATACAAACATTGGAACATCGCCGATTGATTTTTGATTTATGTTTGTTATACAAGATACTTAACAATCTCACTGTTCAACGTTTGAAAGATAATTTTGTTCCATCTCATTATTTGTCAACTCGTGGTAAAATTTAATAATATGGTAAAAAAAATTATGCCTAAGAACGTTTACTGAAGATGATTTAATTATTAATTTTTCTAAATAATAGGTCAGGAGAAAACATGAAATAAATAGTTAAATTATAATAAAAACAATTTACTTTTGGCAATGCACATAAAAATGATCTTTTTTAGATTTTGTTGATTCACTTAATTTTCGAATTTCTGAATATTCAAGAAACAATTTTTCTTCTTCCGTTTCCACTAACTTTACAGTTTCACTGAGAACTTAAAAATTTTAGATAAAAATTTTTAAAAATAAATATACTAATTCTGCAACAAAATCTAGTCATTATTAGCAATACAACCAAGGCTGTAGTACAAGAAAAGCAAAAACTGTAACTGGAGCTTTCGTCCGATACATTTTTCACCCGAACGATACGCCTAAACAATGAAATATTCGATTGATTACATTCTCACCCGAAAATAAAAATAATATTCTGGATGATTCGCCCGATCATTAGAACATTCACCCGATGATAACTTTGTCCAATAATTGAAAATAATACTTAGAGTGATTCATTCAATCATTGGAATGTTAGGAGTAGATTTGACTTACTTAAATCCGACCTGAGTCGAATTTAACAAGATTTAGAAACAAATCTGGTCGGTGACAATGTATTTATTAACTTGTTAAAACGTCAAAAATTTATTTTTTATCTTTTTTTTTCGTTTAGATTCCATTTTAATTTTTTCGTTTCCCTTCAGTTTTTTGAAAAATTTTCCTTTGCGTATTTGTTTCGTTTTTTAACACAAATTTTTGACGTTTTGCTCGTTAACGAAATCCACATTATCATTCGGGTAAAACTTTGTTTTGCGAATGCTCCTGTAACCATAAAAAACATTATATCCATCACAGTAAAGTGTGTACAATGTATTTTAACTAAAATCTGACTTTTTTGTTTATCCATTTCATCACTTATTTCTTTTTTTATTTCTATACTTTCAAAGCCTTAAAAAATAAAATAAAAAATTATTAACAGTGCATAGCGAAAGAAAACATTTGGTTTTGCTATATAGAACACAATTTTTTCTTTGTTTCACTAAATTCAGCTGTTTTTTTCACTTTTTTCAATGTTCTGCCCTCCATAAAATTTTTTACCTATTGAAACTGTCCCTTAGATTTCACCTCAACATAATATGTCCACATAAATTGGAGGTCTTCACGTTTCGAGCTATCAAAACCTTACTTCTGTCAGCAGAATGTAATCTCCTAAAAATCCCATTTCTAACACCAGTGTTGCAACCTCCTCGACCTCGTACCACCAACACCGATGTTATAGCTTCAATATTCGCTATATCTCCAACACCGTGTTGTAACTTCCAATGATAGTCAAGAGTTCGTTTATCCGTAGGTTCAAGATTTTCGATAGTTGAACACAACTACTTTAAACGCAAATTAAGTTGAATACCAGCAGTAGTAGAAACAATTAAATAATCCAAATAGCTACATTTACGACTTCGCATCGAGTCTCACTTCTAGTTCCCTGTGTTTCGTCTTCTTCCTCGTTGTTCTCTCTTTCTGTCTCTTCATTTCGAATCTCGCTTCGGTGTTGTTCATATAGTTACCGATCTGCTTATAAAAGTGTCATATCGCAGTGTCACATTCATAAATAAATTTACAACCATTTTAATTACTTCACACCTTCTAATTATTTTACAAGCGGTTCATTTCTCAGTGCATGCTTAACAATTTCTAACTATTAGTTTTTATCTCGATTTCACGTATGTAACAGTATTATTAGAGTTATATCATTTTAGTATTAAACTGCTAATTGAAACGCTCATTTATTGTTCATCCGCTTCAACATTAATGAAATGAGCAAAATATTTAGTTTTATTAAAAACAAGCTAATTGACTGATATAATTTGCATTCACATCCTAACTCAAATTAAGACCGGGCAGTAGTAGTAATGCTGTTCTGGAGGTTATCCAGAGAGCATGCAATCAGGCATGCTAGCACAGCCGATTCGTTGATTGATTGTTGTTCATCCAACAATCAATACCTGCATTAAAATTGTTTATTGATTGTGCCTCCACAAGTTCATTTAGTAATGAATTCCAATGCCTTGTTAATTTTTTAAAATATTTCAAATTGTGACCTCGCGTTTTAGTTTTGACTAGGCTAAAACGATTATTTAAATCAACTTTGTCCAAATTAAGCATCAGTTTTTTTAAGCAACTAAATAAAATCTCCCCTTTTTGTTCTTTTCATCAAAGTTGTTAATCCTAATTTATTAAGACGATTTTTGTAAGCTAAGTTTCTTATAGATGTAAGCAACTTTGTTGCTCTGTGCTGGACTTTTTCGCTCCTCACTATCACCGCTTAGATCTGTGTATTTATGCCAAGTAGATGTGGGTATTTATGCAATATAATAAACATTCCGGTTCGAATTTTGTGAAACTATGATTTGTACGATTGTATTATTTGACACATTCGTCTGCAATGACGGATCATGCCTGTTTTACTCTAATGTTAAGTTTATATCTTATTCTGTCGATGACAAAAAAGTTATAGATTATTCAAACATAATTTCAATAAAATTGTTTAATGTATAAATGAAAAGCATTAAATTTATAGTTTATCAAATAGTATAAAAAACAGCTAAAATATCATAGTCAAACGATTTTGCCAAAAATATAAAAAAAATTTCTTAACGTTGGTTAACAAATATTGAAATATTTTACCGGTGATTTGTAATGAAAATATTATAAAATTATTTTATTTAAATTAAAAATATGAAACCATACTTGATAACAAAATTTGTGTTTGTATTGTGGGGGATTAAATGTATATAGTCATTATAAACATTTAACATTTTTAATTAGTTTTATTATTCATTTTAATATCTATGTTTTAGTTTAATTCATTATTACGACTACGACTTTGCTACACTTTTCCTCTTTCCTTTTTATGTTGGTACAAGATTGTTACGTTTGTTTGGTTAATAAAATAAAATTATTTCTATTCGTCTTAAAATTGTCCGATTTATAATCCGACGACAAAAGCGAAATAATATTAAATTGAACATTTCTCAACAGTCTATCAATCAATTTTCGCTTAGCAACCAGAGACCCAGTTCCTCCAAGGTAGAACGTTGTTTTCTTTGCCATCAATTTTTTGCGCCAAATTAAAAGATCAGTTGTATCCATTTCATTTAAATTTAGAGCTTTCATGTCTTGCTCGATTGTTTGCGACCGGGACTTATTTGGACGGCCTTTGGGACGTGTGCCAGGTCTGCAAGAGAAGTTATGGCCCTGTTTCCACTTCGTTTGACATGACCAAACCATCGCCAACGGTGTTGCCAGCATTCGCCCTTTATATCATCTAAATCAGCACGACGCCGGATTTCGGTAGTTTTGATGTGGTGATTTGTTATCTCGGGAAACAACCTTCAAACTTCTCTTGCAGATGTTGAAGTGCCTACGTCCTACCTCGGGGTCCTACCTGTGTCTCTGGACGCTAAACGAAGATTGATTGATTGAATAACGTAAAAAGAGAAGAGGAAAAGTGAAGCAATAAAGTAGTAGTTATAATAAATTAAATTAAGACATAGATATCAATATTAATATTAAAACTAATTAAAAATGTTAAATGTTTATAATGACTAATACATTTAATCCCCTACAATACTCCCCCGCAAGAAAAGTAAAAATATTGAAAAAATAAAAAACATTTAAAAGTAAAAATATTCGCTGTTTGTGTTAAACTTGATTCCTCTACCATTCTTGAAATATGTGATTGTTGGTGTTGATTGTGCTGTTAAGTCTGATGTTGTCGATGTAGGATTGGCTGCCGTATTTGCGTCTGTTGTTGGAATTTTTTTATTTCCACTGTTGATTTTGCTCTGAATTGTTGAATGCAGTGGTAAACATGCTGGTTTTATTCGGTCGATTGACACATTCTGAACATTTCCTAGCAATAGTTCAATTTTAAAATATTTGTCGTTATGTTCAATCACTTTGAAAGGGCCTGTATATGGTGCTTCTAGTGAACGATGTACCCGATCTACTCTTAGCCATACGTGGCTGGTGTTCAAAAGGTCATTTGGTACACAGGCTTAGAGGGTAGATATGTCTTCAGTTGTATCTGTTGACAAAAATCAATTTGTTAGTAATAAAGCGGTTCCGGTCACTGCTAGTGTTGGAGACATTCCATTCTCATCTGGCATGTTTCTGAGTCTTAAAAGAACAATAGGAAGTGCATCCAACCAGTTTTGTCTGCGACAACTAATGGATGTTTTCAGAGTACGATGTTGTCGTTCAATTTTTACAATGGCTTGTGATGATAGCTTGTTGTACGCAGACGGCAAAATCCAATCAATCGTGACAACTAACGAAATAATTTACTTTTAAATTGTGCACCCCGGTTAGTTACAACATAAAGAGAAACACCAAAACGAGCTATCCAAATATTTATAAAATGTTGTAGCAACGGTTGAGGCTGTTATTTCTGACATCGGAGCTGCTTCAATCTAACCAGTTGTTCTGTCAATACATATAAATAAATACCTGTAAGCGCTTAAATAAGATTCATTATTTTGTTTAACAGAGGTAAAAGACTAACAATATCAATATGAACAGTCTCGAAACGTGCGGACGGTAGATTGAATGATGATAATGTATATTTTCTGTAACGATGAATTTCATTTTGCTGACAGTTTAAACATTCTCTTGGCCATATTTGTATTTGTTTATCCATATTTTATCAAAAATATCTTGATTTGATTAGTCGGATTGATGTTTTAATACCTGGGTGCGAAAGGTTATGAAAACTTTCAAAAATGCTTTTTCTCAAATTATCTGGAATGTATGGTCTCGGGTATGGTGTCGAGACATCGCAAAATATTTTATAATTTTCACAAATTGGATATTATTTCAATTGATTCTCAAATGCTTTTATTTCATCATCGATTTTTTGTTGTTCGGCTATAGATGTTTGATCACAGACGTCTACTTTAATAGCATTTGCTGGTCGAGAAAGACAATCTGCTACTACATTCTCTTCGTCTCAAATATAAATAACATCTGCAATATGTTCAGATATAATTGAGAGGTATCGTTTTTGAACATCTGACTTCAAAGGTGTTTTCTTATAAGCAGCCCATAATGGTTTGTGGTCTGTAAATAAAGTTACATTTCTTCCTTCAATCTGATGTTTAAAATGAAAAGACGGCGAAGTATGCTGCTAATAGTTCTCTGTCAAAGATAGAAAGGTTAATTTGTGATTCTGTTAAATTTTTAGAGTAGAAACCAATTGGAACCGGAGTTGAATCAACGATTTGATGCAATGCCACCTATCTGTAACTAGGTGATAGTTTGTGCATTTGGTATCAGGATATGAAAGTGTTGTACGAAAATTGAATGTACGAATTTCCTGTTCTTCTTTAATAACAAGAGACAATAAAATGAAATTTTAAAATAAAACGTAAGGCACCAAGTGCATAGCTGAAGCTGATTTTCGACACATGGTCGAAAATTTCTTGGTCATTAGGATCACTGCTTTTCAACAAAATTTGTTTTCTCGGGAAACCAGCCACTGAGACGAAACTGATAAAACGATATCATCAGCATATATTAGATTCCAAATGTCACCAGTGCGTATCGGTTTTGTGACTTCTTCCACTTATAAATAACAGTGAACTGAGAATCGAGTCTTGGTGAACTCCAACGCCGGCGTCAAATGCATCTGTGTTTCCAACTGTTGTGCTGACGAAAGTCTTAGTATTCGTATACATTTCCATCACAAGTCGAACAAGATATTCTGGAATGAGTCACCTGACTGCTTCACGGGGAACTCGATCAAATGTTTTTTCAAGGTCTACAAAAATGTGTGATAGTTGTTGATGCTTTGCGAGGTACTTTTCTTGCAGGTGCCGAAGGATGTGAATTGCATCAATTGTTGATTTCCCCGCTAGGAAACCAAATTTATAATTTCCGTTTGTGATGCACGCGTTAATCTTCTCTCAATGATTATCTCGACAATCTCGAAAGTTCCATTCAGTCGGCATTGAGCAATTTCTTCACACTTCACGGCAAAGTTGTAGTAACGTTTGGATACCTGCAGTACCAGATGCTTTGATAATGTTATTTGTGAGTCCAGAGGGCCCTGCTGCCTTTTCATCCTTCATAGCTTTCAGGGCTTATGTAAGCTCTTCTACAGTGATGTCTGGAATCGGACCTTCGATGGGTGGAGCGTCAAAATTGACATTGATGGGATTTGTTTCATTTAACAGACAGTTGAAGTATTCTCTCCACTGTAGCTTGATCTCATCTTGTTAAAGAACCATATCATTTTTGTCGTTTTTGATATATGAGGTACCAACTATGTCTTTTTGCGTACGCTTTGCTTGTTTTGCTATACGATACAGAGATTTTATTTGTTCACCTTTGCTTTTAGTGAGCAACTTTCTGTACTGATCTGTCCGAGCCAATGCGACTTGACGTCTTGCATAGTTGTTCTTCTCACGGAAAATTTTATGGTCATCAACAGACTTTGATTTTTGCCATTGCTTGTATGCAGCTTTCTTTTCAGCTATTGCATTTTGTACACTGTCATTTCACCACCAAGTGTCCCGTTCATGTTGACGTTTTGTACCAGTTTTCCCACAAACTGTAGTTGCAGCGTTTATCAAAACGGTTTTGTACGTACTCCAATCTGTACTGGCTTGCGATTGGTGGACTAACTGTGTCGCGACAATCTGTTAACATTTTTCTCGATGAATATTGCTTTTCAGCTTCCACGTTTTGATTCTCCGAGGCATTTGTTTAGACTTATGTTATGAAAGTTCGTCAACCAGGTCTGCCACAAGGAGTCTATGTTAGGCGACAAATGATTCGCCAGGTATAACTTTGACATTTTTGAATAGACTTCGGTGTTGTTGCTTGACAGAGAAGAAATCAATTTGCGCGGCTGATGGTCCATTTTTGTATGTTATAAGATGTTCCATCCTCTTTTTAAAATATGTGTTCAGTAAACAAAACCTATGACTTTTAGCAAACTCAAGAATGCGGTTGCCATCTTCAATCCGTTCTCCATAGCCAAAACCGCTATGCACGTTGTCAAAATCATCTGTTTTCTCTCCAACGTGGCCATTGAGATCGCCTCCAATCAGGATTGTTTCAGATTTTGGTATTGTTGAGATGGTATCAGAGAACGCAGCCCAATAGTCATTTTTCATCTCCTCTGATTCGCCTGTTTGGGGTGCGTATGCAAAAAAAATAATCATTGTTTGCTTTTCTAGGCGAAGCTTGATCCACATGAAACGTGAGTTAATCTTTTTAATATCCAGTACTTCTTAGGCTAGCGTTTCTTTGACAAAAATTCCAACACCATTTTTGGCCGTCTTTTGACCATTCCAGAATAGTTTATATTTTCCATTGTCTGAGTTGATATGACAAACATCATTCGATTCCCATCGGGTCTCCTGAAGGCAGCAGATGTCAATCCTTTTACGCTCAAGCATTTCTGCGATTTCCATGCTGCGCCAGTCAGTGATCCAACATTGAGCGTTCCAAGTCCATGTACCATAGACGGGCCATTCTGAATTTTTCTGCAACATTCCTCCGCTATTGCATACTTCCCAAAGATTCTGAAGGACCACATCAAATATACCGAAATCCTGCGTCGTCCTGGTTTAGATGATATAAAGAACAAATGCCGGCAACACCGTCTGCGGTGGTTTGGTCATGTCAAACGAAGTAGAAACAGTGCCATAACTTCTCTTGCAGATGTTGAAGTACCTAGCAAACGTCCCAAAGGCCGCCAAAGAAGTCCAGGTCGAAAACAATCGAACAAGACATGAAAGCTCTAAATTTAAATGAAATGGATACAACTGATCGTCTAATTTGGCGCAAAAAAATGATGGCAAAAAAAACAATGTCCTACCTCTGGGAACTGGGTCTCTGGACGCAAAACAAAGATTGATTGATTGATTTCCATGCTCAAATAACGAAAAAATATTAGAATGAAAAATAAAAAAATATTAATTTATGAAATTTAATATTTTATAATTCAATTTTAAAAATTCAACTTGTAAAAAATTGTTATGATATCTAGAGTATTTCATTGCAATGGCTTCCTTTTATCAATTCATCTGTACCAATGGAACAATAAAAAACTTCTTTTTTTTGTTAATTGCCTTCAAAACACACTCCCGCCTCGGAGCATCGAGCGGAGCAAAATTTTTTATACTGGAACGGATCTGGAGCAGAGCAACTGAAAAAGTGCTAGCTCCATTTCACTGGCACAAACAATCCTGTTTGAATCAAGAAACTGACAAAAAATTGCACAGATGGATATCGTAAAATTTTGGGATAAAAAATTAAAAGAAATAGATCAAAACTCATTAAAAGACTTCATAACATGAATAAACACTCAAAAAGTTATGCAAAGTATATATCATTCTCATAATATGAATAAACACTCAAAAAGTTATGCAAAGTATATTTCATTTTCTCTCTCTCTGTCTCTCTCTCTCTCTCTATATATATATATATATATATACAGTGGCGGATCTAACGCTTAGCAGACTGAGCAGCTGCTAGGGGCCCCGGACGGCCAAGGGGTCCCGTGTACAAATTTATCCCTCAAAAAATACTTCAAATAAATTTTCCAATATAATGAAATTTCAAAATTTTAAAAAAATCATAAAATTTTAAATAATATTTGTTATTAATGGAAAGGGGGCCCCGTAAAAAAAATGATTTTATAAAAATAACTGAAATAAATTTTGAAATATAATGAAATTATTAAAAAATTCTTTCAATTACTATGTTGAATTCAACGTTAATAAGCTTTTGCAAACATTAGCAGTTTACAGTAATATGTTTGAAAACAATCATTCGTTTCGTTAGCCACCGTGATATTTCTTCGGACATCCCTACTTTTCTGTCTTTAATATCGTATCGTTGTTTTGTTGTTAAAAGCGCGTGTTTTTATTTTTTTTAAAAGTATTGTGGTCAAATAATTAAAACGTTATTTAGTTGTCTGTTTTTTCTTTTATTTCAAGTACCTAAGTGGTAAACAATTTTATTTACTTTTGATATAAATTCATTAAATGAATTTCATTTTAATTAATTACTAATGGCTTTTATAATCAATTGAATTGTTTCAATATTAAAATTCAAACTTGGCAGATAGATGTTATTAAAACGTAATTATATTTTAATAATTAATTAATTAATATAATAAAAACGACTTCTTTCATAGTACAAAAATGAAAAGACATCAAAGTAGAGCGAAAAAAAAATCTTAAAAATTCAGGAATTTGTTGAAAGTCAGAAAAATGCATTTCATAAATATTTGTTAGTAAATAGCGATATCAAGTTACCTGTGCCATCAACATCTTCTTTTGAACCTTGTCACAGACCAATAAGTGTTGAAAAAAGGAAAGAAGAAGGAGAAAGTGAACATCAGGTTGATGAAAAAAATAGTGAGATAACAGAAGACAGAGAAAATCCAGATAAATTGTATAATAAGAAAAATGAAGAAATTAATGATATAGCCTTATGGCCAGCCAGTTTGTCTGATTCATTTATTGACTATATTTTAAAAAATAAACCAGAAAATATAGGAAATATAGAAAACTTAAAATCGGTGTTTAAAGAAAAACATGATGTTACTACAGCAGAGGGCTCTCTAATGATCATTTTTATAGAAAAAAATCAAACGGAGTTTTGGAAAAAAGAACATGGCTGGTATTTTCTGAAACTAGCAAGTGCGTTTACTGTTACCCTTGCAAACTTTTCTCCAAGAAAAATTCCAAATTAATAACTGGCTTTGAAAATTGGAGATCAATAACAGTTGTTTTATCAGACCATGAAATTTCAAAAGAACACATGTCATCTATGTGCTCTCTGTACAAAAAATCAACTGCTTTGAGCAGAATTGATGCTCAGCTTTTGCAGGAAAGAGAAAAAGAAGAGTATTATTGGAGAGAAGTTTTAAAAAGGATTGTTTCAAAAATACAGTTTATTAAGCCGCTTAGGATTAGGATTTCGCGGTAATGATGAAAGTAAAAATTCCAATAGAAAAGAAAATTATTTGACCTGTTTGGAATATTTAAGTGAATATGATGAATTTTTAAAATTACATTCACAAAAATATGCAAACCAAGGACGGGGTCATGCAAGTTATTTATCTTATCATATTTGTGACGAATTTGTAGGCCTCATTGGCAATCAAGTGAGGGCTGAAATAATTGAAGAAATTAAATCGGTAACTTATTACAGTATAATTATTGACTCCACTTCTGATATTGCTCATATTGACCAACTTACTTTTGTGATAAGATATGTTTCATTTTCTGGTAAGATAAAGGAACGATTTTTAGGGTTCGTTCCTATAGATAAGCACAACTCTTCATACTTGGAAAAAGAAGTTTTAGAAACATTAATGAAATTTGGCCTAGATATTAAAAACTGTCGAGGTCAATCTTTTGACAACGCTTCGAACATGTCAGGGAAGTACTCAGGTTTACAAGTACGTATTAAAGAACATAGTCCGAGTGCCGTTTTTATTCCTTCTGCTAACCATTCATTGAATTTAGTTGGAAATTTTGCTGCTGAGAGCTGTAACACCGCGGTTCAATATTTCATGTTTGTGCAAAATCTATTTACATTTTTTTCATCATCAACTCATCGCTGGAAAATGCTGAACAGCAAAATAGATGTTGATCAGTCTCTCTCGTTAAAAAGGGTATCAGATACAAGATGGTCAGCAAGAGCTGATGCTGTTTTAGCTTTAAAACTGAAATATACAATAATAAAAGAAACGTTAACTGACCTATGCAATGAACAGGATGAAAAACCTATCACTATAGTTGAAGCAACATCACTACTTAAAAAAATGAATAAATACGAAACCGCTCTTATGGCTGTTATTTGGAATTGTATCCTGCAAAGAATAAATTCTACCAGTAAGTCACTGCAATCAATAGAATGTGAATTATTTAAAGGATCAATGCTACTTAAATCAATAGACAGTTTTATTGAGAATTTCTGAAATGATTATGAAAAAGTTATAACAGAAGCAACCGATTTATCAGGATTACAATCTTTTAGTGAGGAAGATGAAGGAACTTTTAACAGAAGAAAAAGAAATGCGTTTTTTGATGAAAATAAAGAAAAGTATAAATTTACAACTGGAGATAATTTTAAAATCAATACATTTTATGTCATATGCGATAGTATTAAAACACAATTGCTACAAAGAGTTCAAAAATATGAGGATGTTTTGGAACATTTTCGTACATTTCTTGATTGGAATTTGTCAGAAGAAAAAAAACAAAAATCATTGAAAGAATTGAAAAATATTTACAGAAATGACATTGATGTTTGTAATATGGAAGATGAACTAAACCATTTTTTATTTTTTTTGAAGGAAAATGAGGACGCCATTAAGAATAAGCCAGATAATTCAAGTAATAACAAAGATTTATCATTTGAAAGAATCTATAAAGCCGCTAAAGAAATGTCATGCACATTTCCCAATATTGAAATATTATTGAAAATTTTTTTAACTATTCCTTTATCTAATGCATCTGGTGATAGATCTTTTACTGTTTTGAAAAGAATTAAAAATTATTTGAGGAGTACAATGGGGGAACAAAAATTAAATAATTTAGTTGTTTTGTATATAGAACAAGAAATAATTAATAGTGTTGACACTGCCAAAATTATTGATGAATATGCAAGAAGTAAAGCTAGGAAGAAATTTATTTGAAAAAAATGTTGTTTGTCGATTATTATTTTCCAATGATTTCTTTTAATCTTCTCTTCGAATTACATTATTGTCAAACATATTTTTTTGACTATTTGGAAATTTTATATTTTTTTTATATTTGTATTTGACAAAATTTTAATCTATGAAGCACATCACAAATAGCATGAAGTCTGAAATGCGCTCGACAAAAATATTTGCAATGATTGTATCCCAGGAAGAGTGTTCACCATAGGAAAAAGACACGTTCCATAATATATATATATATATATATATATATATATATGTGTGTGTGTGTGTGTGTGTGTGTGTATGTTGTGTTTGTAATTAAAAGGAATTAGAACATTTAATTTGAATAATCAGTGTTTAATATTTTAAAAATTTCGCACTTAATATATTAATGTTTGTAACAAATCTGTCGACAAATATATTCTAATTCGTTAAAAGTTGTTTTTAGTTCAAAGATGTATATCACCTACATAGTTATAAATTGGAAATAATTGAAAGTTAAAAAGCCTCTCCACGACACACTAAGTTTGGGGGCCCCAAATTTTTTTCTGCTTAGGGCCCCCGCTTGACTTAATCCACCACTGTATATATATATATATATATATATATATTTATACACACATATATATTATATATATATATACATACATATATACAGATGAATCGATCGATCTGGATTGATTGATTGATTGATTGATTGATTGATTGATTGATTGATTGATTGATTGATTGATTGATTGATTGATTGATTGATTGATTGATTGATTGATTGATTGATTGATTGATTGATTGATTGATTGATTGATTGATTGATTGATTGATTGATTGGGCTATGACAAGTATATAACTTGGGACATGATGAATTGATGAGAATAAAAAATATTTTGATACTGCACTGCAAGAATGTATTAAAAATGTATTAACCTTAAAAACCACAACCACTGTCGATTAAAATTATCTAATTTTGGACAGGAAGACCATAGTAGAGCAAGTTACAATAATCAATCCTAGATAAGGCTAACGAAGTAATCAATCAATCTTCGTTTTGCGTCCAGAGACCCGGTTTCCCGAGGTAGGACGTTGTTTTCTTTGCCATCAACTTTTTGCGCCAAATTAGACGATCAGTTGGATCCATTCATTTAAATTTAGAGCTTTCATGTCTTGCTCGATTGTTTGCGACCAGGACTTCTTTGGACGGCCATTGGGACGTGTGCCAGGTACTTCAACATCTGCAAGAAAAGTTATGGCACTGTTTCCACTTCGTTTGACATGACCGAACCACCGCAGACGGTGTTGCCAGCATTCTTCTTTTATATCATCTAAACCAGCACGACGCAGGATTTCGGTAGATTTGATGTGGTCCTCCAGACTAATTCGTTGCATCCATCGGAGCATTTTCATGTCGGTTCGTTGAAGATGTTGTTCCAGTGTGTTTGTCATTGGCCATGTTTCTGCACCATATAACAAGACCGGACGTATCATAGATTTATAAAGTCTTGATCGTAGTGGTAGTGGGATGTCACGCCGCATCAATATAGAGGCAAGGTGATGCTATTTAGTCCAGGCTGCTCGTATGCGTGCTCTAACGGCGGCTTCAGGTGTTCCAGTACAATCCAGAACATCCCCTAGATATCGAAACGATGTGACTTTCTCTACCTTAATGGCTGCATTCTGTTCAGACGTGGTTGTTAAAACGATATCATCAGCATATACTAGATTCCAAAAGTCACCAGTGCGTATCGGTTTTGTGTTTTCTTCCATCACAGTTATAAATAACAGTGTACTGAGAATCGAGCCTTGGTGAACTCCAACGCCGATGTCAAATGCATCTGTGTTTCCAACCGTTGTGCTGACAAGAGTCTTAGTATTCCTATACATTTCCATCACAAGTCGAACAAGATATTCTGGAATGAGTTGTCGACGTAGACTCCACCTGATTGCTTCAAGGGGAACTCGATCAAATGCTTTTTCAAGGTCTACAAAAATGTGTGATAGTTGTTGATGCTTTGCGAGGTACATCTCTTGCAGTTGCCGAAGGATGTGAATTGCATCAATTATTGATTTCCCCGCTAGAAAACCAAATTGATAATTTCCGATTGTGATGCACGACGCTAACCTTCTCTCAATGATTTTCTCGACAATTTTCAGGGAGTGTTCTAACAGACGTATACCCCGATATGTTGAACAGTTTAATAGATCACCTTTGCCTTTGTATAGCGGGACTGTCATGCTATAGTTCCATTCAGTCGGCATTGAGCAATTTCTCCAGATTTCACTGCAAAGTTGTAGTAACGTTTGGATACCTGCAGTACCAGATGCTTTGATAATGTCATTCTGTAAGCTCCTCTACAGTGATGTCTGGAATCGGACTTTCGATGGGTGGAGCGTCAAAGTTAACATTGATGGGATTTGTTTCGTTTAACAGACGGTTGAAGTATTCTCTCCACTGTAGCTTGATCTCATCTTGTTCAAGAACCATCTCATTTTTGTTATTTTTAATACATGAGGCACCAACTATGAGAAAGATGAAGTTAAGAAAGAAAGAAAGAAGCAGAAGACCGCGATGCATGGAGGAGTGGCATCCATGGAAACCGTTCATTTCGTGCAAGCGCGGAAGCACGGACGTTAAACTGATGATGATGAAATTCATGTCGTCATTATTTATTTCATTAAAGTTAGATTAATATAAAATTGTCCAATTCATTCTAGAATGCATAGGACTTATTTCGATTTTTCAATCATCTTCAGCACTTGTTGCAGTTTTATAGAGTATTTATTTAACCCAGCACTTGTTGCAGCTTCTATATTATAGTTTATTTGATGTAGAATCATTGTTTACCAATGTTCCTACAAAAGACACCATAGACATAATAATCAACACCGTCTACAATTCCAATCAAACTCCATTAAAACTTTTGACATTAATAAATAAATAATGCTAACAATAATTTGGTTAGAAACGTTACTAGAACACTAAAAATTCGGTAGATTTCATAAATTACTGCAATAAAAATTATATTACAGTTTAATTTATTCGTATTTAACATATGGCGTAATGTTATGGGGTAATAGTTGCACGACCTATCTTAATTCTTTGAGAATGGCCTATAATAGTTTTGTTAGATGTCTTTTTTTTCTTGAAAAAGTATGACCATGTCTCAAATTTTTACCAAGAAGCTAATCTATTAACAATTAAACAAATATATAATTTTGGTCTGTTAAAATTTACGTTTAAATTATATAAACATTTATTGCCTCCTAATTTGTCCATTCATTTTAAAGCTCCTGATAAAAAGTTACGTGTTTTAAGACGAATGAATGATTATGTTCAACCTTACCCTAGATTATTAATTTATAAATTATCGGTTTTCTCCTCCGGGGTTTCACTTTGGAATAGATTGCCTTCAGAGTTCAAATTATTAAATAGCATTTCTAATTTTTCTAATAAAATATTATTATACATTTCCAAATAATCTTTGTTATTTCAAATTTATTTGTTTTATTTATTTTAACTGATATAATATGATTAAACATTTTTGAGTTTATTGCTGTTGGTTTTTGAATGTATGTCTTGAATGTATGTTGATATTTATTCTTGGACTTAGTTTGAATTCAATTTGTTGTTTGTTCAGGCAAAATCATAAGATTAAACATTTTAATTATATTGCTATCATTTTTTGAATGCATGTCATGAATATATGTTAGTATTTATTTATTGGCCTCAGTTTGAATTATATATTTGTTGTATGATCTTACACATTTTAGATAACACTACAAGGATCAAATTTTAGTTTCATTTCATTATCATTTTGTTTTACGAACGTTTAATTTATGTGCAGTGTGCTATGCTTTTGTGTCAAACAGTTGAACGAACAAATTATGCTATCGTATATGCGCTTGATAATTTTTTATATTGTTTCTGTTTTTCTTTTTGGTGGCCTATAAAGCTTAATAAGCTTGTATGGTCTCCAAGCCATTTTTCTGTGGTTAATAAAATTTGTAATATATATATATATATATATATATATATATATATATATATATATATAAGTAATTAAAAGGGAATAATGACGTTGGACGTGCAGGCAAATCTTCTCAATTTGTGGCACTTGACAAGAGAGAATATCTGAACAAACTGAACACAATTCTCAACGATAAAGCTAAATTTAAAAAAATCAAATCCGAACTCAAAAAAAACTGAACGGAATGATTCGAGGAATAAATAAACATATTCCTAACGACGAAATCAACTTACTCGTTGGTGAATATTCTCCTGAATACCTTTATGGTAAGAGTAAAACCCGCAAGACCAATTATCCTCTTCGTCCAATTATAAGTCAAATCCTGACAGCCACCTATCATCCTATAGCTAAGCTTCTTGTTTCAGTTGCTGTTAGCTTGAATTCATTGCGGAACAAATACATTTTGAGACAGTAGATCACTTTGGCCATCCATCTGGCCATGTGATATGTTCCAGGAATACGGAAATGGTACTTGCCATCCGTTTGCATTGAATGACCATAGAATATTTAATAATGATAATGCATTTTAAAATATCTTATATGTATGTTTTAAATTATGTGAGTAACCAATTTTTAATACTTTCCAGTTATATTTGTATTAGGTTTTGAAATAATGAATTACTACATTTTTATATAATTTTGAGAGGCATGAGCAACTTCTAAATTTAATTTGTCTTATTTTTGGTTTGTAAGTTTTTAAGATCCAATGAAAATTTTTCAGAGAATTTGCACTCAAATCAGAAAAAAAATTTTTTTCCCCATTCAAATATGAGCCACCCTATTATATATATATATATATATATATATATATATATATATATATATATATATATATATATATATATATATATATATATATATATATATATATATATATATATATATATTGCTAAAAGAATGATCATGGGAAGATCGCAAATCACACTTGGTGAACTGGCAAGGGATATTCATCAATGTAAGGATTTCATGAGAAAATCAATAGCTAAATATAGCTGATGGATAAACACATGACTTAAGAGTCAAAAATTAGTAATCCAACCATCAGTTTCAATAGTATTTACTAGTTAGTATTTATTTACTATCTCTGCTTTCAATACAATTGATTTGAGAATTTTTGATTTAAAAATTCCTATAATCAAAAAATTACAAGAAAACTAAAACTAAAATGCTGCTATCAGCTGCTATCATTTCACAACTTTTGGACTAATTTCTAAGTTGTTAAATATCAGGTTGAAATTCTATTCTAATGTAATTATTATCTTGAGAACAATAAAATTACTACATTTGAATTTGAAATGAATTGGAAACTAAATAACTAAAAATCAAAACAAAAAATAAAATATTAAAACAAATTAAAGTTTCATCAGTGTTTATTTACCTAAATGCAAAAAATAAGGACATTTGGATTTAAGCTATGATTTCATATGTTAAATATTTTCTTCTTAGTTTATAAAATTTAAAGTAAACTTAAGTTTAAAAGTTTAATAATTAAAATTTTTTAATTTTACTTAAAACTAACAAAAAACACCTTGGTTGTGACCCAACCACCCAACGTGTTTCTGCTGTGAAAGTAGAATTCTCAAAAAAATATCTTTTATAGTTTTATATTACAACTTTATAATTTTATAATATGGGTGATAAGAGTATTAAATATTTGTATTATTAGTATTATTACACATTTTTATATAATAATAGTAATACTAATATTAATAAAATAACCAGCACACAAATTTGCCCAGTTAGTATCTGCTATCTCCGCTCCCACCTAACAACAAAACCATAAACTAAACAAACCTGATACGTGTATAATTTTTTCCATTATTTTAAAATCACCCATATCGGACGCTTGACAGGGACACTTCGTATTTGCTCCGTTAACAAAAAACGTCTGGACCAAAGATTCCGCAAACTAAACAAATATAGATAAGAGCAAAAAAATGTATTATTTTACGGTGCGAAAAATGTATCTAGCTTATATATATAGTTATAGAATAAAATACAAAAGCCCTTGCGCCTACATTTTTTAATAATATTTATATAATGTAATATTAGCAAAATGAAATGCATATGAATTAAACAGTCTGATCGGTTTATCGGAATGAACAGCAATTTTTATTCGATTGTTTAAGAATATAAACAAATTAAAACTAATAACCATTATTTTTGAGTGGAGAAGAAATTTCAATAATTATTTTTATTAAACTTGATTTCATCATTGGTTTTCAAAATTTGCCGCCCCAGGCCGAAGCTTATTGTGCTTGTGCGTAAAGTCAAGTTTTGCCTTTCTACACCCTATTCTTCAAGTAAAGCTTTTAACTCGGCTGCTCGTCTAGTTGTTCGTGCCCATATCTTTTCTCATGTATATCCATATCTTGTTCTTTTGCACTGACTACTTATAATAAGATATCCATATCTTGTTCTTTTGCACTGGCTACTTATAAATAAACCGGAATACTAATTGAACATAAATTTGTAAGTTGCTTTTTCTGGCCCTTTTCTCTGGAACTCTCTACATCTTTCTCTGACTACTTTTCCGTCACAAACGATGTTCAGGGTGGATCTCAAGACTCATCTGTTTGCAAAATTTATTGAGGAGCGCTGTTGAACATCGCGGAAATAGCGCTTTACAAGCTAAATACAATATGTCAATTACCCCTTTGCAGCTTTTATGTTAATTATCTCTTACAACTCTCTGGAATGCTTTTTATAACGCAAGTAGTTGCGGATCTAGACAACTTTGACGAGGGGAACCAAAATTTTGAAAATGTTTAAATTGTTAAATTTAATTTTTTTTCAAATTTTGACGGAAAGGGTAAGAATTTGCGGTGACCCCTCCTGCTCCCTTCTAGGTCCGCCACTGAGTTCAGTTGAAGTATATTCGACTACCAAAATCATATCAGTTTTATTTTCTTTGAACGGGGGCTGCCCGCGCTGGATCCGCTCTTTTGATACAGCAAAATTTGCTGTGTCATCAAAATAGCGCTCGATGACCATTGTACTTCCAATCGGTTCTCGACGGCAGGCCCCCAATCCATTCTTCCAGTTGGATTGCGATGTGTTTATTTCTATCTCGTCTTCTGTCGAAAGCAATCCGCCACCAATCTGTGAACATGCTTTATCATGCACCGCTTCTTCTAAGTTCTCCGTCTGGCTTTTAGCATTCTTCGTATTGGGTGAATTTGCCGCCTTTGATCGTGAATCTTGCGACATTGTGAGGTCCGAATTGGAACACCTCTCCACGTTGGTCTCCAAGGCTGAAAGGCTGTCGAAGACAAAAAGTTGCTTGACCATCTTTCTGGCCCTTGTCACAAGTCCTTTTATATCCTGACCCACATCAAATCCGCCAGAAGACGCGCCGTTAGTTCACACATCGCTGCCCTAGCAATAACATATCTTTTCCACAGATCTACAGTTGGAATTGAGAGAAAATAAGCTTTCATTTCTGTCAACCACTAATCGTTTGTGAGGCTCTGATATGCCAACCATCGGCCAACCGTTTTCAATTTATTTTCCAGCACGGTTCCTAGATTCATTACTGCCGTACACCTCACCTCGTGTCGCTGCAGGCTTTTCTTCTGCATCCTTCTCTCACATAACGCGCACTGTTCCATCCCTGTATTCTTATGAAATGTTTTATTGATTTTTAATTAAGATTATTGTTATAATATTAATAATATTACTGTTGTCGGTAAGCATTTTATTAGTTAAATAATTTCAGTTTGTTGACGTGCACTACTATAGGTTTCGATTTGCACGATTTTCAAATCACAACGTTGCTGGGCGGAATCACTTGTTCGACCAAATATGGCCCGACGTATGTGCTGGTCCACTTGGGTGGCCTTTCCTCCATAACCCTAGGATACAAGTACCATACTTTTTCTTCGGGCTTCAAATGTAACGTGGTAACTTTTGTGTCGTACTGCAGCTTGCGGTACACGGCTGCCGCTTTAAGCCGTTCTTGCGCCAGTTGATGCGCCTTCAGGATTCTTTTCTGTATTTCGTCAATGAACTCGCTATGCGAGCCAATGTCCATCACGTTGCTTGGCAGCTGGTAAACAAGGTCAATCGGCATTAAGTTCTTTCTTTCTAAAAACAAAAGATTCAGAGTGAAACCCTTGGCGCCCTGTAGGCCGCCAAGACAAAAGGGAGGCAAGCATCTCAGTCGTTGTGTGAATCGTGTACCTTTGCCAACATCGAATTTAGTGTCCTGTGAAACCTTTTAATTGCTTCGTTAGCAGATGGGTTGTACGGCGACGTGCGTATCTTCTTGATGTCGAATCTGCAAAGTAATTCTTCGAACAGGTTGCTTTCAAATTCACGGCCTTGATCCGTAAAAATTTGCCTCGGCATTTCGAATCTAGGGAAGATTTCTGTAGTTAATATTTTGGCCACAGATGCCACCGTATGCCTTCTTAACGGAAATTTTTTGGCCCATTTTGTGAAATGGTCTAGAATTGTCAGAATATAAATGTTGTCCTTTTTCGATTTAGGATGCGGTCCGGTGATATCTAACGTTATCCGTTCCCAGGATACCCCGGACAACATGACCTTCATAGCTGCATGACGTTGTGGTTTCCCTCTGTAATATCTGCAACACTTGTCACAATTTTTCACAAACGCTTTGACATTTGACTTGCACGATAGCCAAAAAATCTAAACTGTACTCTTTCTTCCAATTTCGCAATCCCCAGATGTCCTCCTCTCACGCCTGTGTGGGCAATTGACAAAATGGATTCCATCATACTTTTGGGTGGCAAAATTTGCCACACTATGTCGTTTGCGGGCATCACATCGAACCGTCTGCAGGGCAGCCCACTTTTTATTTCCAAACGCTCCCATTGATGCCAGAGTGTTTTGAACATTTCGTTTTCACCAGAAACATCATCCCACGACGCCCTTTTTTAGTCGTGCAATAGTTTTATCCAGCTCTACTCAGAGTCCGGCTGGCGTAAGCGATGACTCTCTCTTTACCTTCTTGAACTTGTGATAGAACAGCTCCAATGGCTCGATGCGAAGCGTCAGTGTCTAGGAAAAATGGATCGTTTTCGTTTGGCTTGGCCAGAAATGGTGTTGTCGTTAAAATACATTTCAATTTCTTGAATGCTTCTTGTTGTCCTGGACCCTACCAAAATTTTTTTTCCCTTGAGCAATTCATTCAATGGTTTGACAACTTCTGAGAACCTCGGTACAAACTTGCAATAGTAGCCGGCTAAACCTAAAAATCCTCAAACTTCTGTCTGCTTCGTAGAAGTTGGCAAGTCATGGACGGCTTCTGTTTTCTTTTCATCTGTCGCGATACCTTTGCCTGGCACCACATGGCCCAGAAATGCCACTGAAAATCTCAAAAATTTACATTTCTCCATTTTCAATTTCAATCCAGCTTTTCTCAATCGCAGAAAAACTTGTTTCAACCAAAAAAATGTTTTTGTAAATTTTTCGAATAAATTATAATGTCACCAAGCCAGACACGTATCAAGACATAAGTCTGATAGAACTAAATTCATCAACCGCTGAAATGTGGCTCCAGCGTTGCATAGACCAAAACGCATTCTTTTGAAACGGAACATGCCCCTGTTGCACATAAACGCTGTTTTGTCTCTGTCCTCAGGATGTATCTCGATCTGGTGACAGGAAGACTTGAAGTCCAGAGTTGAGAACCATTGTGCCCCTGACATGGCGTCCAAACAGACGTCAATTTTTGGCAGAAGATAGGCGTCTTTTACCGTCAAAGAATTCAACCTTCTGTAGTCGATACAACAACAATAGGACCATCCTTTTTTTTCACCAGTACTATGTTGAAAAACCACGGCCCATGTGCAGGTTTGATCACGTCTTGTTCAATCATTTCATCCACTTGTTCAGCAATCACGTTGATGAGCAGGTGGGTACCTCCTCAATTGCTGTTTGACAAGGCGGGCTCCCTGGGTTTCGATTTTATAGCAGATTCCTTTCGCCATCCCAATTTCTTGTTTGGAACAACTGAAAACATCTGAAAAAATTTTCAACATTTTAACTAATTCAATCGTTACTTCTTTTGGTATATTTTTGATCAGTGGCTTGATCAAAACTTTCATCAGGTTTGTGTGTTCATACCCTTCATTGATCGCTTCCTCATTTGCAGGGTACAAGTTTGACAACTGCGTTCCGGAAGGAATCACTCGGAGTTGATCGTTGATGTTCATGATCCGGATACATTGTTCTCAGAACGACATGGAAAGTATCGTCCGGGCAACAAACACACCTTGCTCTAGTTGTGTACTATCGGAGCACACATTTCTACTAACTTCAAATTTCGATGGCTGTCGAACAACGACCTTTGATGGGACGTCGAACTCCGTTCTCGCAGGAATCTTTACTTCTTTGTTTGATTCTATTCGGCACATCCAGTTTACATCAACATTTTTGGTAATCAGCGCCACTGCTGCTGAGTTCTTCCCAATGGTGATTTTTGTCCGCCCAAACTTCCACGAAACGTTGTTTAGTTTCAGCCAATCCAAACCCAGCAAGATTTTAGATACACTGTCCGAAACCAAAAATGATGCTGGCTTGGAGTGTTTGCCGACTTTGATCAAAGTTCAATTTGCCCTTTGATTGATATTTCTGTGTCGTTTGCTGCCTTCAGGGACTTTGTTGTCGGCTGAATCTTTGAGAAATTTTCCATTGACGTTTGGAGAATTGAGACGCTGCTGCCACTATATAACAAGCCCAGTTTTCTTTTTTCATCAACGTTGATTGGTAGGTAAATGGCTTGGCCATTGCTGCATGTCGATTGGTTTGATCGGCCCACGCCCTTGACACCTTTGCCATGCGGGCACTTCCTCGAAAAGAGACCCGGCTTTCCACATCCGTAGCAAGTTTTTGTGCTTGCTTTGTCAACTTTTGATGATCATTTGACTTCGCTTTCTACGGGCACTTTGATGAAATGCCCTGACTGGTCACATCTGTAACAATCACCTTTCTTTGTTTGTGTGGTATCTCGAGAGCCACGATGGAACTTTTCAAACATCTGACGACGTTCTGTCATCTGCCGCTCCAACGTTTTCAACACTCTGGTTTGATATTCGGATTCCATGACCTGAATATTTGACCTGTTAGAAAAACTAACCAACGATCTTGTGACTTCAAGTCGTTTGGCAAACCTGAGTGCATCGTCGATGTTCCTCGGTTCTTTCTCTCGGATCTTTAGTTCCAGCTCAGCAGCCCCTAAAGCTGACAAAAAAAGTCTTCAGCAAGCTGTCGTGCCAATGCTGACAGTTTTTCTGGGTATGCCAATTACATCAAGCCCTTGGTCACTTGTGCCAATTCGCCGAGGGACTTGCCAGTTTTTCTACGAAGAGCTTGCAGTTCGTGCCTGTACGATTCTTCGTTAACCCTCGTCCCGAAACGATTCTCGATCTCGTGTTATCCTAGTTCTGTCAACCCCACCTGTTAATAAACAAGACAGATGTGCCTCCATATTTTCGGAACTCCATCGGTTGTACCTCAAACATATGCCAAATTTTTATGAACGTCCTCAGACATCCTGTACCATTAAACCTGTCAGGTAATAAGAAACTACACGACTTGGGACAATCACCACGTTCAAACCAGATGCGTCAAACGTTGGTTTTAGACTTTTTGGTGAGTGAAGATGGTTCATCACATGCTGGTGAATCTTTATTCGTGTCCGATTCATGCACATGTCAACTCGCTCTTGACCTGTAACCTGTATTGCTTGAAAAAGAAAAAGCCCCACGTTGGGCGCCAATTGTAGAATTTTTTGTCATCATCGTTCTCTCCTACCGCTTCTTCCATCGACACGCTCGTCGTCGCCACTGTCCTCGCTGCGATGGCAATTGTCGACATGGTAGGGTCAGTGTCGGTCATCAGCGCCGTGGCAATCGTACATGCCACCGGCCGCTCGATACCGCACACCTTCACTTTCTTCACGCGGGCGGTCGCGTCCTTGGCCGAGACTCGCTGGTCTACAATGTCTAACCTAACTCCAGCGTTTGTACCTCGCACATAACTCAAATTTTTTATGAACGTCCTTAGGCATCCTGTACCATCAAACCTATTAGGTAATAGGAAACTACGCGACTTGGGACGATCACCACGAAAGAGATGTTTCGCTCTTTTTGCCGGGCGTACGGACCGGCCTTTCCGCACGCTCGCAAGTCTTCTTTCAAGCGTTGACTCATATTTAACATTTTATTAATAAAAACACAATACTTTGAATTAATTCTCTACAAACTCTATTGAAAACAATTAATGATCAAATAATTAAAATGTTAATAAATATTGAATTGTTATCGTTATTATTGTTTTTTTCTTACAATTATTATTATTATTGTTATTATTTAAGATTTATAGTTTAATCAGTTAAATTGGATGTACCGTCAGACAATGACGAACTTCTTGAACGAAGATGATGCACTACCAGGACGAACTTCTCGAACGATGATGATGCACTACGGACGAACTTCTCGAATGATGATGAACTTTGGACAAACTTCTCGAACGATGATGCACTTCAGACGAATTTCTCGAATAGTGATGCACTTCAGACGAACTTCTCGAATGATGATGCACTGCCCGAACAAAGTCGATGATAATGATGCACAGCCCGGACTAAGTCGATTCCTCGTCTCTGTTAACCTGAATGTCTGAACAACTTAATGACTAAATGCCCAAATGAATGTGTGTTTACTATCCCTCCTCTATTTTTCTTGTGCTCTAGCTGATGGAGTATAGACCTTGCCTTCTTCACTTCTTCATACATCCGATCATGACGTACAATTTGTATCGGACGATATTAAAACGTTTATCGGCAATATATACGGCAATACGGCACAAATACGGCACCATATGTATAAACTGGCGTCTCTTATGTTAGCTCATCGTTTTCATACATCGTGAATGCGCCAGTCTATGTTCTTCATACATACTGTAGCATACGATCAAAAGTATCTTACAGTGAGTGAACAAACGTTTAAGCTGTTTGCATAAATTATGCGCCTGTCTTTGTTCTCCATCGGAAACTGTACCGAAGTTTTAGGCATGCTCGATCACTACTTTGTATGCGCATGTCTTTGTTCTCCAACTATAACTGAGCCAAAGTTCAGTAGGCTAATAAAAATGTATTAATAATATGTTATTATTTGAATTTAGTTTTTTTATTATTATAAAATTTGGACCGCAAATTACGAGTGCCTCTAGACTACAAAAAGGTTAATCCGCTCACTGGTTGTAAGGGTAATTTGCTTACATGCTGCTAAGGGGTAATTAGCGTATTAAGTATATATTTTTTTATTATTCTTTAAAAAATCAAGATCTGACAGACACAGAAACTGTTACAGCATGCAAGGCAATAGTAAACAATGATTACAAAAAAATAAATGAATTAATAAATAAATAAAAAATGGAGGAAAAATGTCGGAAGGAAGCGACTGCCCACGTGAAGAAGGTGAAGGTGTGCGGTATCGAGCGGCCGGTGGCGTGTACGATCGCCAAGTTGCTGATGACCGACACCGACTCCACCGTGTCGACAATCGCCGTCGCTGCGAGGACAGCGGCGACGACGAGCGTGTCGACAGAAGAAGCGGCAGGAGAGAATGCCGCGGCAACCTTCACGACGACGAAGACAAAAATTCTACACTATGTTTGATTTTGGATGAGGGCCTGTAATGTCTAACGCCACTCTATCCCATGGCAGACCTGACAACATTATTTTCATCTTCGCTCTACATTTCTCTCAGTTTTTTATGAATGATTCTATATCACACTTCCACGTCGGCCAATAAAACTTGCGTTGGACAATTTTTTTCAAATTTGATATACCGGCATGTTCACCTGTCATACCTGTGTGTAAAATTAATAAAATCAAAAAATCGAATTAATCTTATTTAAAGTCATCAACACCCGCCATACTATGTTCATCCTTTCTACCGTTTCAAATCGTCTACACAATAATCCATCTTTAATTTCTAAAAATTGATTCAACAGCGTTTTGAAATACTCATCTTTTTTTGAAATATCGTCCCAAGGTGGTCTAGGAGTTTTGTCGTGCACCCATTTCATAAATATCCCGATATCTCGTCTGAAACTTGAGCTTCTCTTAAGTCCAAAACATCGTCTACTTCCTTATCTGTTTAACAACGTGTATGGTTGTTTTACAACAATTTTTTCGCACGGCTTTCTAGACAAGGCATCAGCATTTTTACGTCTAGTGCCGTAATTTCGAAGTCAAATTCTTCCAACTGCTCCAATCATCTTGCTCGTTCCACTACCGGATTTAATGTGTTCCTTAACCACGTTTACTGTACATAATCTGTTCTGACGGTAAAATGCCTACCCCAACAAATATTGTTTAAAATATTTAAAGAAATAGACTACAGCCAATAATTCTTTGCGAGTTGTGCAAAAATTTTCTTCGGCTCGACTGAGAGTCCGGCTTACATAGGCAATGACTTTTTCCTTCTCATTTTTAAACCTGTGAGATGAATCTACCACCATCTTTGAAACTTCAAGACGCGAAACCTAAGGGCATCGTCAATGTTCTTTGGTTTTCTTTTCCTAACCTTTAGCTCTAATTTAGCATTATTGAGAGCTGACAAGAAAAAGTTTCTAGAAAGATGCTTTGCTCATCTTGACTGCTCTCCTGGGAAGGCTAATGACATGAGTCTTTTAGTAACCATTGTCAACTTTTGTAACGACTCACCAAGTTTTCGACAAAGAATCTGTAATTCATATCTGTATGACTCTTCGTGACCTCTTGTTTCAAAACGATCTTCTAGTTTAGATACTGGCTCCTAGTAGCCTAAACCTGTTAAATCCCAAAGAACCTGTAAAATTTCATTTGTTAATGAACATGACAAATACGCTTCCATGTCCACAAGATTCTAATGATTGTACCTGGCACATATCTCAAACCTTTTTTAAGAAAGTTTTGAGACAAGCAGTGCCATCAAATCTATTAGATCTCGGCAATTCACGACAACAAAAGTCATTGTCACGCCTGGCACCTATGCGCCATTGATGAACCTTAAACTTCACACGTTTCCCGACTGTCACACGTCGATTCATGTTCAACCATGTCTCCCTCTCACTCGGTTTCTCTGCAACTGTCGCTGGTACTTAAAATATTATTATGCAATCGATCCCAATCGGTTTTCTTAATGATTGACGCTGATCTACTGAACGTTAAGTGCTGCTCATTCAGCTCAAACTCTTGCGACTTTTGATCATCCTGGCACCTAAAACTTGAAAAATTTTGTGTGTAGTCTGTAACCTAAATTGTTTGCAGAAAAATCAATACGCGGGTCTTTTTCATATCTGTCAATAATTTTGAAACTATTGTTGTTTAAAACAATTTCGTTTCGTTGACTGGCGAGCGTTGAAAATCTGCTTGAGGTTAATTTTTAAACTTCCTTTGGTTCCTGTGGCCTCAAACCAGAAAAAGTTTCTTGTTATCGAACTTGGCACCTGTCTTCAAAAAAATTTGGAAAATCACCTTGGCTCCTGCTGCACCTAAAATCTGGAATATTTGAACAGAGACTGGTTATTCAACAACAACAATAGACATGATATGAAGACGGTAACTGTGTCTGACAATTAACTATTTTTGTTAACAACTGTTGATAACTTTAATTTTATTTACAATTAATTTGTGGTTCGCTTGGTTTTTTACGATTGTGTATTTCTATTTTATGAGAGCGCTTTGAGAAACTCACTTTAAAGACGCTATATAAAGTAAATACTATATATATATAATATATATATATATATATATAATATATATATATATATATATATATATACATATATATATATGTTGGTAATAGACCATAATTTTTACAATATTCTATAAATTCTACCGAATGTTTGGCGTTAATATGTTTGTAGTTCGTTTTTTCAATTTTTCGCACTAAAGTTTTTTGGTGAACGATTAGTTTATTTAAATTCATAATAAACTTATTTTCCGAATTCATGCTGCAAATAAGGCCAGATTTCGATTCCGAATGAATCATCATCAGTACTTTCTGCTGTTTATATAGGGAAATATTGACTTTGTCAAAATGAACTTAGATGGAGATTGACTTTGTCAATGTGAACTTAGATGGAAATTAGGTGTCAGGTTTCTTTATTGGCTGGTCATCTTCTTTGGTCTCCTTTTCTTCATTGATAGCATCATATTCTTCTTT